ATGTATCTTGTCTCTCAGGTATCCCAAATCAAGATGAAATGGAACGACCTAAAAGAACCTTCAGATCTGCCATAGCCCTTCTTACTTACCTGTGTGGATACAGATCATTCTGCAAGATAAGACTTCCATGGTATTAAACATAAATTTGTGGTTTTGTGGTATAAAGGATCTCAGAGTTCAGGTGTTGTTGCCAATGCTTCCCACTGGAGGCAAAAAAAAAAAGGAATTTATTTTTCAGATGAATTCTTAGTTGCAATGTTGATACAAGCAATGGAGAGTTTCATTTGACAACAATAGCACACACTCCAGGCAGGTGGAACTGCTTTGCTCTTTAAAAAGGAAAGGACATCTCTGGAAGATGGCTGCTAATTTGATCTAGAGGGTTTTAAACTAGAACACAAGGAATTGGGAGTTATAAGATCATCGATGAGTAATGAACTGACAAGAAGGCAATAGTGCAGCAAATTCTGAAACTATTAGTTTAACAAAGAAATAAAAGCAATATAGGCATAAAGCAAAAGGAAGACAGAATGGACAAGGCCTGGGTAACAAACAAGGTGAGCTAGATATTATGAGGTACAAAGGAAAATATGATATAATATGGATTACAAAAAAACATGGTGGGATGAATCCCATCAGTGGAACATTGAGCTTGAGATGCAGGTAACTCAGGGGAGGAAGTGGTATAGCACTATATCTCATTGATGATTTTTTATTTGTACAGAGGCCCATTGAAATCATGGTAATATGAGGGCTGAAAGCATCTAGGTTCAGAAACTAGGCAAGCAAGCAGAAGGCACATCTTGCTAGGAGTCTGCTACAGACCACAAACCGGTCAAAGGAAATAGATGAAGATTTAGAAAAACAGATATTCGTAGCCTCAAGAATTATGAAGTGGCTGTGACAGCATATTTCAACTATGCAGTTATGTATTGGAAGACTAGTTCTGCCAAACTCAACATGTCATTTAAATTCTTCACTTGTGTTGGTCATAAGTTTCTCTTTAAAAGATTGCGATGGATACTAGGGGAGATGTTGGCTTGGATTTGGTCTTTACTTACAATGAGGAATGGATTGAAGATATTACAGTTGTGGGAACTTTGGATAGAGGAAGCATGGTATGGTCCTAATCCAACACCTTACCCACCATCTCCCATTGGGTCCTATGGTTTTGTTGGCCCTTCTCTCTCACATCTAAGCAAACTGGAAATCATATCATTAAAATAAAAATAGTTAATAGGTTGCAATCCATAGAACCTTGTATCATGTTAAATGTGTCCATCTCACACATGGTTGAGTAATTCTGGGAAAGGGGCCTGGAGAGTTTGGCCTCTATCTGTTGTGTTAGAGACAACACTTGAACCAGTAGGACTAGAACAAAAACCAAGTTACTGTAGCTCCCATACATTTCCTCAAGTCTGTCAATTCAGTGGCAATGTTAGAGAGTTTAATAGACATCTTTAAAGTTTGTTAATAGACATCTTCAAAGTGTACAATAGCTATAATGACTAAGCAAAAATATCTAAAGCAGAGGTGTCAAACTCAAGGTCTGTGGGCCGGATGTAGTCTATGGGTCCATCCTGGAAACAGTGAAGGACTGGTCCACAGTGCCTCTGCCAGTGAAAACAGAACTCAGGAGGGCCACCTGTACCCCTCCTGAGCTCTGTTTTCATCNTATGCCCCTTTTTTCACCCTCACAAATGTGACGGCATCCCCATGGCCACACGATCAAAATTCAGATAGAAATAAGAGTTGGAAGGGACCTTGGAGGTCTTCTAGTCCAACCCTCTGCTGGTTTTTTATTTATGATAGTGCCCCAGGGGTCCCTTGATCACCTTTTGCGACCTTCCTTCCGACAAAGTCAATGGAGAAGCTGGATCCGCTTAACGACTGTGTTACTCACTTAACAAAGGAAAGGGTTTGTTTAACAGCCGTGGCACAAAAACTCTGCCAAAATGGGCCAAGACTCACCCAACACCTGTTTCACTTAGCGGCATGAATTTTGGTGGTCATACCTGAGGAATTACCTGCCATTGAGGTTCCCCCAGCAGGGAGGGGAAAAAAAGAAACACGGGGCAGTTGTAAACCCACCCACCCCCCTCAAAAAAAATCTCAGTTGTCTTTCCTTCTGCTGGGATTTGAACCCAGAAGCAGGGCCAGAGATGATGAGGAGGGGGGGAGGAAGGGATGCCAGGCCCTGCTCACCTGAGTTCAGGCTGCCTTCTTTCAAACTGGTGGAGCTCAGGTAGTCCTCCTTGCAGACGAATTTGTTCTCGTCGATGATGTACAGTTCCTCGCCCGTGGAGAGCTGCTTATTACACACCATGCAGGTGAAACAGTTCAGGTGGAAAACTTTACTCCGCGCTTTCCGGACGAGGTCGGAGGGGGAGATGCCCTGCGCGCAGCCTGCGCACTTCGTCCCAAACTTCCTGGAAGAAAAGGAGAGGATAAGATTAGAAAAGGGATTTGGGGGAGGAAGAAAGGAGCGGGGCGGCCAGGGTGAGGCCAGGTTTCTTCCAGAAGTTGGGAATGCGGATCTCGGATCTCCGGAGTGGATCCTTTGTCGTTTCAGGGGTTTTTAGGATAGGTCAGGAGGGAGGCAGTTTGCTCTCTCTTTCTTTCTTGTTCTCTCGTTTTCTCTCATTCTCTCTCTCTGTCTCTCTTGTTCCCTCTCTCATTCTCTCTCTCTCCCATTCTCTCTTCTTCCCTCATTTCTCTTGTTTTCCATCTCTCTGTTTCCCCCCTCATTCTCTCTCTCATTCTACTTCTCTCATTTTCTCTCATTTTTCTCTCTCTCTCTTGTTTCCCCTCTCTCATTCTCTCCTTTTCTCTGTCTCTTCCTCTCTGTGTTGTTCTCCCTCTCATTTTCTCTCTCTCATTCTACTTCTCTCCTATTCCTTCCTTCCTTCTCTCTCTCTCTCTCGTTCCCCCTCTCATTCCCTCTCTCAGTCTCTCCTTTTCTCTTGTTTTCTCTGTCTCTTCCTCTTTCTCTGTGTTGTTCTCCCTCTCATTTTCTCCCTCTCATTCTACTTCTCTCCTATTCCCTCCTTCTCTCTCTCTCTCTCTCGTTCCCCTTTTCTCATTCTCTCTCTCATTCTCTCCTTTTCTCTTGTTTTCTCTGTCTCTTCCTCTCTCTGTGTGTGTTGTTCTCCCTCTCCTTTTCTCTCTCATTCTACTTCTCTCCTTTTCTCTCCTTTTCTTTCTCTCTTTCTCTCTCTCATCCCCCCTCTCTCATTCTCTTTCTCATTCTCTCTACTTCTTTTCTCTCCTTTTCTGTCTCTTCCTCTCCCTCCCTCTCTCCCTCCCTCCCCCCTCTCTCACACACACACCGACAAAGAAACCCCCCCTCGAATTGCACCCCCCTATTCGAAACAGATCAGGTGGATCGATTTCTTTTTCTACTCCGTCTCTTCTCCCACCCCCCCCCCCACCCGGTGCAGTCAAAAATCTCAGCCCTTTTTCAGTGTTTTTCGCGACGGTCCTGATTTATGTGCCATTTGATGGGTTTATTAAAAAAAGAAATAAATAAAATAAACCGGGCAGAAAACCATTCTGCGAAAAGGAAGAAAAGAAAGAAAGAGAGGAGGCTGGGAGTCTCGAAGGAACATTTTCCCTTCCCGCTTCCCCACTTCTTAAAAAATGCTCCGATTTCCCCCCAACTTTGGAAAGGAAATAATTTGATAATGTCCATCGCGTTTCTTGATCCGATTTAAAAAATAAATAAATATTTATATAATATAAATTTATTGTATGCTATCGTTTACAAATTATAACATAATTTGTCAATCATGATCAAAGGGATCTTATCCGCGTAAGAAAGGGCCCGATCGAAAGGGGACGCCGCTCCGCGCGAAAGCCGAGGCGAAAGGGCGCTTCGCTTCTCAAAATATTGCGCCGTTCCACGCTTAGAAACCCGTCTGGCTGGATTCGGATCTAGTTCCTAGAGAAACGCACCCCTATTTTGGATGTGTGGATTTCATTTTTGGGAGGTGTTGTTGTTGTTGTTGTTGTTATTATTTACTTTATTCATTAAACATGAAACTCAGCCAACTGAACATTCAAAAATGCATCACAAATACCAGTGACTGGTGCTAATGGTTGATCCGGTTTGCTGCCAGCGTCCTAGGTATCAACCAAGAAACCTTCTTAAAATATAAGATGTTCCGAGTAGCGCAGTTTTTTGCAGTTCCGCTGGTGTTATTTCAGGAAGCTGCAATTTGTTGGTGTATCTTGTAATATTATTATTATTATTATTATTATTATTATTATTATTATTATTATTATTATTATTATTATTATTATTATTATTATTA